AAAAAAACAGTAAAATCTACACAAAATTTTATTGCAATCATACAAGGGTTACATTAGGTCAAGTACAACAAATACTATGATGCAATTTTACATTAAACTACAGTTCAAAGCACAAATTTACACACTCGGAATACACTAAACGTATCTAAGGAAGCCACGCTAGTCTTCCACTGACATCTGCCGTATCTGGGTGGAAGGTGCTAACTTTACAAGACTTTTGGACACGAAGCCTCAGTATAAAAACTGTGCACTTGTATGTAAACGGTTGAGGGGAACCCAGGTCGTGGGCTTCCATCTCCACTAAGTCATCCATTTTGTTGCATATTTTATATTCAAAGCTTAAAGGGTAGGACACACTGTTAGGTTTAATCTGGACACATTATCTAAATTTCCCGTCACCCCCAGTGAATTCTAGATGAAAGCTGATTTCGTCTGGTCCCATAGCTATTGACTTTTGTTTCTGAGAGAATGGACAGAGTGAGATTGTTTGGATTGTTTCCACCCTGGAATGTAGACCAGACCAGTGCAGCCTGAAAGCTCAGCTCTAAAGGGGCACGGGGCCTGCTCAAGCCTCCGTGGGAAAGCCGTCGTCCTGGCTCAGCTGAAGGCACGAAGACACAAAGAAGAAGTTCTTCATCATGGTGTCCGAGGTGACACCTGCATCCTGCATCTCATACCAGTCACTGAATGACATCGTGTAATACACAGCTGGCCTCGGAGCATCCTTGCAGACGCTTCCTGCAGCGAGGCTGCGCCCATGTTGGCAAAGATCAGCCAGTCACCCACATGCGGCTCGGGCAGCAGGCAACTCTCTACAACCCGATCCAGCTCATCACAGGATGGACCCAAAGGCCGCTTGCAAACAGAGGCTCATCTTCCTTATATTTCTTGTGAACCTGTGGAATGGTGTTCAAGTCCTCAGTTTACTTGCAAAAGAACCATACACACCATCATTCATATCATACACAAAGGCTGGTTCATCGCTCCTGGCTTTTTCTACTCCAGAGGGGAATTTCTCATTTTTAACAACTTTCTTTGCAATGATATTAACCACAAGTGTAAATGCAGAAGACACATAGTAGCTTCCAGGTTCTGAAATGATCTTTATCCCAGAGCCTTCAGGAAAGTAGACATCCAACAGAGGCCCGGCCCTATTTTTTCCTTTTTTAATAATTTTTCCTTTCCCTTTCCCCTCCCACTTCTCCTCCCCCTTTGGACCTTTTCTTCCTATTTCAAATTATCAATTATACGTTTTAATAATTTTAATCCTTTCAGTTTCTCACACCAGAGAAACAATTCGGTATTCACATGTGTGTCCTGTTTATTTCACTTGAGTATGGCCTCAATATGCAACAATGGATCACACTTGTTTGTCTACTCTGAGGAAAGTAATTAACCAGGCTTTTGCATATTTACTAGCTCATCAATTCTTACAACTTATCAGGTAGGCATTTCATACAAAACAAACTCAGCAAGTGTGGCCTGGCCAAAAGTGATCAACATTCACAGCAAAATTACTGTCTTCTCTCAACAGGAAATAGAATATAGAATGTGTTACGGTACAGAATTCAAATCTTTCATATATCAATTCTCCCTGCCTCTCATTTAATTAAGTTTAAAAATAACCTTTGGCTGGGCACAGTGGTGCACACTTGTAATCCCAGAACTAGGGAGGCTGAGAAAGGAGGATTGCTGTGAGTTTGAGGATAGCCTGGGCTTCACAGTGAGCTCAAGATAAGGCTAAATAAACTACATAGCAAGATCCTCCAAAAAAAAAAAGAGAGGGAGAGAAAGAAAATTAAAAATAACCTTTGAGCCAGGCAAGGCAGTGCACACCTGGAATTGCAGGTTTAACTTTTTTGGTACCGGGGATCGAACTCAGGACCTTGCGCTTTCGAGGCAGGTGTCGGTGGGAACACTGAGCTACATCCCTGGCCCTTGAATTGCAGGTTTAAGCCTCCCCGGGTGCCTTAGGGAGACCTTGTCTCAAAATGAAAAAAAAGAACCAGCAATGTACCTCAGTGTCTTTGATATACATATTATTGCCATGTTCCCAAGTCTAGCATTAACTCTGGTGCCCTACGGACTGGCTGGCAACCTGTATCTATTCACTGTGGCTCATAGGAAGGTGCTGGCTTTTCAACTGTTCCTAAGGTATCGTGGAGACACAGGTCATTGGGTGCAGTAACTCTGGTGAGACTTCAAAAGTACTCTGAACACAGCTGAAGGCCAGACTCATATCTAGAATGTGCATCTGGACACAAAGGACCTTTCCATAATGAACACAGGTTTAGTAAGAGTTGTGGGAGGAAGGAGCATTTAAGTTACTTACTCTCCAACATATAAATTCCTACAACAAAATATATAAAGCATTTGATCTAAATAAACAAAACTGCAAAAGAAAATGAAAAAAATCTTTATTGCAATAAGTTAGCACAGGAGTCCTGTCAGAAAGCACGAATCAGTTGGTTAGGGCAATGAGTGCCTCCACCACATTGCCCATGTGTTCCCGCAAGCTCCTTTCCGCAGCTGCTCGGGAGATCTCCATCTCTGTCATCTGCAAGACAAGGATCCACCACGTTACCTCGGCCTCCTTTCTGGCATTAATGTGCCACCAAACTTCTGACTCCATCTATATAAGCAAACAATCCAAAGTAAACAAAACAACCTCCCCTGCACATGAACTATTTATTAAAAGCTCTGCTACTCACTATCAACTCCAGATCTTCCTTCTTGATAGTGACCTTTGCCAGTTCTTTCTCCCTGCAAAATGTTATGTACATCAGTCCTCATATTCCACCTCCACAAGTTCTTGCTGCCTTGCAAGTAAGCGAATCTTGATGAACAAAGAATTTCAACTAACATCCTTGTGCTTCCCCCTGGAGGCTGTAAGCGGCAGGTATCACCAGGAGGCGCTGCTTACATTAACAAGTCGTAAACCCCCATCTGCGGGAATTGGGGAGAGGTCAGAAACGGACAAAGGCCTAACAATGGCCTATACTTCTGTTAAGGGCTGGAACAGGGTCTGGAGACTTACCGCTCCTGTCGGGCCTTCTGCTCCCGGGACCGCCTGTCTCCGATGACGGACATGGCCTACGGAAACACAGGTCTCGTCACCACGCTTCTGCTCACAACTTCTGATCACGCAACAGCCGGTCCCTGGCGGCTCTTCGCACACTCGGACCACGCGTCAGCACATCTCCACCAGGCTAGTCCTGGAGCAGCGGTCCTCCTGCCCCCGGGCCCTGGGACCCGCACCCCAGCCAGAGCGCGGGCTTCCAGACAGCGCAGACGCTCCTGCAACCTCACCGTCTCCAAGTTGGAGCTCTGGATCTCCTTCTCTTCCGCATAGTCGGTGACTCGCTCCAGGTCCGCCGCACCGCTGTCATGCTTCCGCGGCTTCTCCGGGGGCCGCTCCGGGCAGCTGGTCTCGGTTTCCAACTCCAGCTCCACGTCTCCCTCGGTGGCCATGTCTATCTCGCCCCGCCCAGCCGCGCTGTCGGCAACTTCCGGGGCTTCACTTCCGCCCGGGCAGGGGCGGGGCCGAGTTCTAGAAGCTTCAGCGAGGATGACGGCGCTTGAGCAGTGCAGCGTTTTCCGCAAGGCCTCCCCGCCCCGCGCTGTCCCCGCTCCAGACCACCCTGGCCTTCCCAGCTCACCTAGGGGAGCTTCCCCCAGACACACCAGGGAATTCGTCCAGCCGGACCAAGTGCTAACCCTAAACCCATTAGGACCTAATTCCGGCCGCTGTGCAAACCCCCTCCGGGAAACCACCCGCAGGGGCAGCTGTCCCGGGAGCGTGGGCAGCAGTGGCCGCCTCGTCAGCTCCCCAGCTGGCGGCCCTAGGCCTGATGGGGCAACGACAGCGAGCGCAGGGCTGGGCTGACACCGCAGAAGACGGGCAGCACGGTGCGTGCTGTGAGGGAGCTTGGCGAACGGGTCTAAACGCTCCCTAACGTGAGGGCCGCCTCGCGAGCGGGGAACATGAAGTGGCTGAGGCTGCCGAGCAGCACCTGCAGGGGCCGGTGAAGCCAGAGCTCCTCCACTGCCCTGCCGGTTCTGGGCCAGATGTTTAGCTAGGGGAAGGCTGACAGCTCAAGCTTGCGCTTAAGCCCTTAGGTCGGACGTGGCCCTGTGGATCCTTGAGTGGACGGAAGAGGAAGGGAATTCGGCCTCCTAAGTTAACCAGGCAGCCATTAATGTGCACCTGTCCTCCGCTAATCTCCACCTGGCTGCCCTGTAGCTTACTGTCCCCAGGGGTCCGGCTCTGCGCCTGCTCCTTGTACCAGCTACTGCCACTGCAGCTGGCCCTGCGTCTACTCGATGCCACCAGGTCTACATTCTCTGCTTAGGAACCTCAGCAGTCTGGAGCTGCCTCCTGCTGTCAGGGACAATGGTGGAAAGGCCCCGGGGCAAGGGGACAGGGTCAGGTGGGAGGGGCGGGTTGCAAGGTGGAAATGGAACCAGGAGACACCGGACAGAGAGGATTCAGATGGGGCAGGAGGCGCAGGAGGGGCCGTACCTCTGCAGGCACTGAGGCCGGTCTCGCACACGCCCTCCAGATCCAGAGGCTCTCAGCGCCGTGCGCCCGCCTCTCTGACCGCTCTGCCTGTCCTGGGCTTAGTGGTTCTGGGGCTGTTTACCGAGCATGTGCAGGAATGGCCACGCCACCAGCCCGAAGGCACAGGTGCAGGTTGGTGTGTACTCTCGGTGGGGAGGGAACAGGGCAAAGCACACATGAGCTGGGTAATGGAAATTCTGGCTGAAGCAACAGCACTGTGAAAGACAGAAAACAGGTTTAAGTCCCTGCTTCCGTTGTACTTGCTGTACTCACTATGTTGACCATGAACCAGACATTTATCCTCGGGGTACCCAGGGCAGAAAGAACAATGAAGTTATTATATGCAAGCTCTCGGTAAAAGGGAACACACTGCCTAGATGGTATTTAGGTTTCTTGAGTGACAATGTGAAATAAAAGTGCAATGGGCCTGTTCCCAGACCCATTCGCTTGACCTTTGTTCTCCTTTCCTTGTAGCTCTTTTCTGTCTTCTTTCCTCATTTCTGTGCTTTCCTTCCCCCTCACCTTTGTCTTGTCAGTTGGGGTTTTTGCTTTTTGTTTTTGTAGTACTGGAGACTGGGCCTCGCACATGCTAAGCAAGCACTCTACCACTGAGCCCTTTTTGAGCAGGGTCTTGCTGAGTTCATCAGGCTGGCCTCAAGCGTGTGGTCTTGCCTCAGTCTCCTGAGCAGCATGTGATTACTACAGGTGTGTTCCACTCTATTGGGCTGAGTCTGGTTCTGTCGCTATCCAGCTTCTGGCTCAAGCTGGTGTGCCTTCTGCATTCTTGATGAACATCTCTTTCCAAGTCATCTCACACCTCTATCAGAAGGAATAGTTAAAGGGCTTGCAACGTAAGAGTGGGCAGGAAGAGCGGCAGCAACATATGTAACAGCTACTGGTGCCCACCTTGCAGCCTGGCATTACATTGGCATTTGTGGTGGCTTCACATTCATTCTACTGCAGCTAGTGTTTATCACAGCCTTTTCACACTCCTGCAACAAGAACTGGTAAGGGGCACACAACCCTGAAAGCTCTTCCAAGGGAGGCTGTCCAGCACTACAGGATGGAAGTTGGCTGAGCAAAGGGCATGGCCAGTTGTTGGTAACAGTTTCCCACTGAGCAGTGTCAAAAAGTTCAGGAGTGTGGTAACTGACTAATCACGTCCATCAACAATGGGTATGACCAAAGAGCTGGAGCTTCAAGCCATTTCCCCCACCTCCTCAGGCAAGCAGGTATACCCCAAGACTTCAGCTGGTCCCTACTGTACTGCTGGCCAGCCTGCAATTCTACAGCATGTGGGTGTGGGAGCTGTGCTTCTGTTCTGCCACTACACACGGCCAGCCAGCTGCCTGCCCAACAAGATGCTGCTCAGTCTGCACCTCTGCTTTTGTGGCCCTCCTCTCCTTCCCCTCCATCGCTTCCTGCATCCGCCGGACTGGGTACACAGCCTAAGTCAGCAATGGCAAACATTTCAGAGCTTTCAATGAGACAAACAGCCTGCTGTGGCAGGTGTGGTTTGCCACCAATGCCCTAAGGCATTCTAAGTTTGGGAAGCCTTTCAGCAAATGTCACTGGGCTTTCTAACCTCAATTATCTAATAAAAGAATCTCTGTTTTCCCCAAGGGACGGGGAGGCAAAAGTGCAGGTGGGGGTGAGAGTACAGAAAATCACCACCTAAATAAAATAATGATACCTATTCTCCCCAGAGCAACCCCACAAATGGCCTTCTAACAACAGGCTTCTGTCATCAGCTGCTATACCACATATCTGACCTATATTCTAGACAATGTACAGCTTTCCTGCAAATACCCAACTCCCTATTCTAAATATTTCTCTTTCTCCTCCCCAGTACTCAAGGACAGACTCACACCATGGGCCTGCCTGGCCCAAGCAGAATGGAACACCAAACACCAGATACCTCACTAGCAGTGTGGAGTGCTGGCAGCATGTATGCTTGTGTGCTGTTTGCTTGGTGTGTAAAGATACCACCAGAAGGGATGATGTCCAGGACCAGGAGGGCCGGTCAGGAGAATGTCTAGGACCATGGTTCATTTAAACTTTAGAGTAAGACTAGAAGAAAGGCTCCCAATGAACAGGGACAATTCCTAAAAATAGCACTTTGTCAGAGGATCCCTATTAGATGATGGGGGTGGGGAGAATGACCTGAGAATTTAAAATTTGTAGATTTTAGGGCCTTCACATGAAGAGATTCCTAAACCTTTGCTGAAAGGGGGCTCAGGGAACACAGTACCCTCCTGAGGATTACAAGTGTGGACTAATCAACAATAAATGCCCCCAAACAACCCTTACTATTTGACTCAACCAGCTTTAGAACTTTTTTCTCAGCACTGGGCTCTTGTGGATCATCAAGGTTTACAGCTGTGTTCCAGGTGAGGCTTAAGAGCTCAATGGTCCCAACACCCTCCCCTCCAACACACACAAAGACACACACACCCACACCCTACCAACCTCTACCCACAATGCTCAGATGCTAGCTATTACCTTTTATTGAGTACCCACAATGTGCTAGGCACTGTGCTAGATAATTTACATACATATTCTCATTTAATTTAGTCCTCACAACAACCCTGTGAGGTAGGTATTTGCTCCATTTTACAAATGGAGAGGCATAAAAGATTAAACATCTTACCAAAATTTGCATAGCCAGTTATATGCTGGAGCTAGAATTTGAACCCAGGTGTGCCTCCACTTCTTACACTAGACAAATCTTTTCAAAGAGGAGTTTCCTACGTCAACACTCTCCGGGTTCCTTAGAAGCCATTCTGTAACATGCTGTCTTGTTTTGCAGAAGCCCTCACTCTGTTTCTGCTGCCCCCAAACAGTGGAGCCAGAGGACAGTGTCAAGTGATGAGTCTTTAGAACTGGTAGGACTCTGTATAGAGCGCCAAAGAGCCCTCAAGAGGCTAAATGAAAATAGGTGGGGAGGAAGGAAGCAACACTGCTTTCCACCAGCCCTCCCTTCTCTCCAGAGCAAAGCAGGGCAGCCAGACAGCTGACCAAGAAACCCCACCAGCCAGCTCCTCCAGTCCGAGACCAGCATCTCTCCTACAGCTATTCTGCCTTCCACTCTGTCTTCCTTGCTTGTCATGGTTACCCTTACCAACTGTTTCAGGTAGGAGCCAAGTGGCCTTGAGATAGTCTCCTGAAATCCTGACTATTTAAGGGGAAGAACAATTCAAGGCCACTCTAAGAGTTCTCGGGTGAGTCTGCCGTGATTGTGGGGTACATAAGGACAATCTAAGGTCCCACATATTCTCTACTCAGTCTTTGGTTCCACAGTTATAAGGAAGCAGACCTAGAAAAGACATTCGTTCACCAAGGGTAACCAGACTACCTTCTGGGTCAAGACTGTCTCATGCTGGGCCTGTGTCCTCCTCTACCTGGGAATGCTACTGGCATCACTGTTGGTCCTCCATCCAAGAGCCCCAGCCACCTCTTCAAGTAACACTGCCATTGCTTTAGTATTGCCAGACAACAGCCCCTCACACCTTTTTTTTCAATAAACTGGGATATACCCCCTGTTCAGCCTACTTTAATATTCCAAGGATATAAAAGGGAGTTACCTCACCTTAGGCTTAAATCAATACTACGGCTGAACTGAAACTCTAACGCCCTGGGCAGTTTCTGATTCACTGCAGCTTCTGTTTACATCTTCATCATAGTCCAAAAGCCTAACTCCCAAATCAGCAGCTCAGGAACCACTGATGATCTGAGCAGACAGTGTGGCACCAGCCCTTTCCTGGCTCCTAAACTGGAGGTGGGGTTGGGGAGAGACCAACAGGGACTGAAGACTTGGATCTGTCCTTGCAGATAAAAAAGAAAATAAGCTGTACAACTCTGGGCACAAGGGTAGAAGCCCAGAACCACAGAACAAATGAGGGCACAGCAAGAAAGGAATACAGAAGCTACCCCAGGTTTTAACCCTGATCTTAAGGTCAAAGTAAGCCAGACGACAAATAACCACCCTCATTCCAGGATGAATGACAGAACAGAAGAGAATGTGACACCTGAGAGCAGCCGACCATGGAAACTCAGGGAGCAGCAGGGGTTGTTTTTTTGGCCAACTTTCAAGCAGACAAACTGAGGAAAAATAAAGAAGAGAGGAGGTATAAACTTAGGTTTTGGTGCCTTCCCTCTTTGGCCCTCACCTCCATCCTTGGGATGGTGTTCAAAGTCTGGGTTGGCGACAAAAATCACAAAAAAGAAATCTCTTTGGTTCTCAGAGGAATCTTCTAACACATAACCAGAGTACTCTGTCATAGTACAGGCTTCTCTGTGATGTTCACTCATTGAAGTCTACATAACCACAATCTCTTTAGGAGTCTAAAGAGCTCTCCCCTTATGATGGGAAAGGACAGTCACTCTTCCATCCCCATCCCCCCAAGTCCCCAGTCAAACCAGGCGCTCAAGGAATTACAAAGCTACTTTTAATACTTTGGGGTTTGCCCCACAGGAGTAAAAAACACTGGGAAGGGGTAACCTCTTCACCCCCAGGAGTGGCCCAGGGGGAGAGAGGCTACCTGAGGGGAAGGAAGCACAAAAGGGACCCGCTGCAGACTCAGGGCAAAGGGAGTGCCATCAGTGTTGGGACCTGTGACCACTACAGGAGGAAACTTGAGCATGGTGGGACTGGCTCCAGGCACACAGGCGAAGGGCAAGAGGGTTGGACACGAAGCCACAAAGCTACTTGGGTTCCTCCTTCTTCTCGTTTGCCTTTTTCTGCTTCTGCTGCATGATCTCCGAGTCCCTGAGGGTAGAGATGATGGGGCACTGGGAGGTACCAGAGGGCAAAAAGGACAAGATGCAGGGGGATGAAGGGCACAAAGGACAAGATGGAAGTGGATGGGACAAAGTTCAGCATGTGACTGCTGTATTCCCACCCTATGAGAACAAGAGAAACAGCTGAGGCTCAAAAGGCAATCAGTCCCCATCTGGCTGTTGCCCAAGGGGTCAAAGTCTGGCCATGTAAGGTCCAACGCTCACTACTCTGTGCTGAGTACCACACCCAGCAATACTATTGAGAAAATCGGGAGAAGGGAGGAGAAATGAACTACAAGAAGGGCCAAAAGTACTGACTATCATAAGCACAACTGTACTTGAAATGTGAAGCTCCCTGCCCTTGCTCTTAAGGTCACACCCAGGGGCACTCAGAAATCAGACCGAGGGCAGGCATCCATCCCAGTCCCTTCCTGTAAGACTATGACCTAACAATTTGAAGGGTGGGGAGGAAATAAAACCTTAGAGGAAGCAATGCACTCTGCCCCTCACGACTAGTTCAGTGTTAAGCCCTGAGGTCGCGCTCTTTCCTAGTCCAACCCTTGGTCTACCCCAGGTCTCCCGTCCAGTCCCGTCCCCTCCCCTCCCCTCCCTGGGGCTACCTCTGCTTGCGGGCTGCAGCAGAAAGCCCGTCATCTCGGCGTTTCCCCTTAACCGAGTCGCTCTGCTTTTTCATATTCTTCTGGCGGGCAAGCTCACGCTGGTTACCGCCTAAAGAGAAAGGGTGAAAAGTGAGACGGCGGGCCGCTCTCGACACACGGCGGCGACCCGTCCCAAACTGAAGCTCGGTACCCGCCCGTCTAGGGGGAGGGGAGGACAGAGCGAGGCTCCCCGGGGCAGGTCGGAACCCTGGGCAAAAGGAGGGCGGCCCGGCCAAGATGCCCCTGGAGGCGTGTTCCGAGTTCTGGGGCGGTGTGGGGTCCCGCCAGCCCGTACGGAGTGTGCCGCGGGTCCCCAAGAGAGATGGGAGGGCTGGAGCCAGAAGCTCGTGTCCTAACACGGGCACGGGGCCCCACAGCGCCAGAGGTCCTGAAGGCCACGACTAACGGTGGGGGGGTCGGGAGAGGGCGACGGGCAGAGGCTCGATTTCCGGGCTCCGAGCGTGAGGGCAATTGCACAGCGCTCCCAGAAGAAGGTCTTGCTAGGAAAACTAAGACGAGGCCAAGGCGGGGGACTCGGCGGTCGAGACTAAGATGAACGGAAAGAAAAGGGCGAAAAGGGGCTTCAGTGCTCACGGGTCATGGCGACGGCAGCGGCTCCGGCCTGCCTCCGTTGCGTCCCCTCGTTCCGTCCGACGTCGCAGGCCCCGCCCCTTCTCGAAACGTAACTAAGGCGTCCTTCTCCTCCCCGCCCCTCACGACCGAGAGCCGACTCCCATTGGACAGAACGAGTCACGTGGGGCCCAAATCCTAGCGTCTGCCGGCCTATCCAGAGAGGCGGTTCGCGGGCGGAGTGGGGCGGAGTGGGGCGGAGTGGGGCGGAGTGGGGCGGGGCCTGAAAAAAACTAGGCCGGGTCATGTGGCGGGGCGGTGGAGGGTGCGGCTGGCGATGTGGCGCTCCACCGGCCGGAACACGTGACCCGACGAGTGCCCTCAGCCGGGACCTTAGGGGTGAAAAGCTCGCTGGGAGGAGCGCTGCGGGGGGCGGGGCTTCGCCAGTCGGGGTGCTCAGTCTGGCTCTGTGTCGCCGGGACCCGCGAGCTGAGCTTGGCCCTCGCGCAACTAGGGGCAGCCTGAAGCCTTCTATTCAGGGCTCGCATGAAAGCATACAGAGCACAGTTTCCTCATACCCCTCTGCCAGTGTCACTGTTCCCTCCTAAATCACTCGGCACAGACAAACCCGCCCTGCACATTGACTCAGAAAAACTTTCTTCTGGTGCTAGGGCTTGAACCCAGCATTCCTGCATACACTTACCGTGCCACTGATTTGCACTTCCTGCCTGGTACACAAATCTAAGTGTAAGGATGCAGTTCCTTCGAGGTATTGGAGGACCCTGAAATCAGACTGAAGTTCGGCCTGAGATTTGAGGACACACATGCTATAGACAGGCAAGTTAGGCATACAATAGCAGGCAGGGAGAGGCACTGGACCCATATGGAGCCAAGATAGCCAGGCCTGGGTCAGATAAGCTCGAAGCTGAGGTCAAGAATTAATAGAAACCAACAAGGCTTGGTGGCACATGCCTGTAATCCCAGCACTCAGCAGGCTGAGACAGAAGCATCACTTCGAATTTGACGCCAGCTTTTCTGAACTACACAGGTAGACCCTGTCTCAGAAAACCAAAAACTGGGCCAAGGATGTAGCTCAGCGGTCCCACGCCTGCCTCAAAAGCGCAAGGTCCTGAGTTTGATCCCAAGTACGGTGGAAAAAACAAAACAAAACAAAAACAACAACCCCAAAAACTCCTAGAAAGAGTCCCGTGGCAGCCCACCTCCAGGTCCCACTCCCCCATTATTGGGAGCTATTTCTCTCTTAATAAACACTCTTCCTGTCTACTTCCCATGTCCTAGATTCAATCTTTGACTTGGTGAGACAGGGGTGCAGGTTACCCCATTATAATACCTTGTCCTGCTTTCCTCAGAAGTTTCCTTACTGCATTCCCCACCAACCCACAGCCTGGTTAGACAGTGGAATTGCCCCGGAAGCTACAAGTAAACTCATTCTCATTTTCAGTTCAATTTATTTTGTGTGAATAAAACTTCCTACCAACAAATTCAAGCCTAGCCTGGGGAACTTAGGGACTTAGGGAAATCTTGTCTCAAAATTCAAAACAACTTTTTTGTTGTTGTTGTTAAATTATTTTATTGGTACATTTTAGGTATACAACACAATTACATTTCTCACTGGGAATTGTACCTTTACATAATGCATCTTGGTTCTTATTTTTTCCCTATTCCTAGCCCTCCCTTCACGCCCTCCACTCTTCCCTATTTACAAAGACTTTATTTCCATTTTTTCCATTTCTCAGCATTTTTCCTTTCCCTTCTTTCCTTTCCCCTGCCCCTCCCACTACCCCTACCCCTTTGGACCTTTTCTTTCTATTTTGAATTATCAATTATTCATTCTAATCATTGGTACATTTTAGGTATACAATATAATGACTTTCAGCATTGGAAATTTGCACCTTTACATAGTCTCTCTTGGTTCTTATTTTTCACCCTTGCCCAGCCCTCCCTTCAACCCCTCCAGTCCTCCCTATTTACAAAGATTTTGTTCCTATTTTTCCATTTTCTCATATTAATCCCATTCCCCTCTATCCTTTCCCCTAGCCCTCCCACTTCCTTCCCCTTTGCCCCTTTTCTTCCTATTTCACATTACCTATTATACATTTAGTCCTTATTTACACTTTCAGTTTCTCACACCAGAGAAACTATTCAGTATTTATACATGTGTGTCCTTTTTATTTCACTTAAGAGTATAGCCTCAATGTGCATCCACTTAGCTATAAATGTCTCTAATTTCTCTCAAAACTTTTTTTTGGTATGGGAGAGTGGGGAGGGATTGAACTTGGGACCTTGTGCTTTCGAGACAGGCAGTGGAACCACTGAGCTAAAATCCCCGGCCCCAGAAACAATTTTTTTTTTTTTTAAGACATGGTTTCACTATATAGTTCATGCAGACCTTTATTTCACTGTGTAGCCCAAACTGGCCTGGAACTCACAGTGATCCTCCTCCTGCAACAGCCTCCCAAGTGCTGGGATAATAGGCATATGCTATCACACCCAGCTTCAAAATTTAACAAAATTTAAAAGGGCTGTTGACCTAACTCAGTGTGAAGACCCTGGGTTCAATCTCCAGTACCAAAGAAACAAAAAACTCCTAGAAGACTACAAGAATTCACTGGATATGAGAGAATTGCTAAGGGCTGAGTGTAGGAGCATGAAATTTGAGGCCAGGCTGGGCTGTATAGTGAGTTCAAGTCTAGCCTTAACTATGTAGAGGACCCTGTCTCAGAAAGGGGGTGGGGGGGTGGGAAGAGAATTGTTAGCCCACACTGTCACGAAGCTGTAATCTCAGCATGTAGGGATACTTAGGCAGTTTTGGTGCAGAATTCCAAGAGACAGGAGAGACTATTGGGAATCAGGAGAATTTATTTAAGGTGAACACTAGCTCAACAGACTACTGTCCAAAGGAAGAGCATTGAATAAAGAAAAATTTCAGCTTTTGATTGAAATGGGGGTGGTCCTGCTAGTGATGCAGTGAGTTTACAGGAACAGGACAAGGGCAGTCAGTTTTATAATTTAGCCTTGTAAGAAGACAGTGTTTTATGAATCATATGAAAACAGAGTTCATAAACTTAGTTTACAGGACATAGTTGCCAATTTTATCTATACCAGAACAAGGAATTACAGTTACAAGGGAGAGGATGATGATGGGGGTGCTGTACAAGGCTGGGAAGAATTTGTTTGTCTTTAAGTCCTGCTTCATTCCCCCCTTTGATGCTTTCTCTAACAAGTTTTAATAGAGACCATCATCTTTATCATTATTATTATTATCAATTTTTGTCCTAAGGGGGTGCTCAGTACAACCTATTGAGCAGAGGCTGTTACTTGATTAAAGGCCATAAATTGAGTGGTGTTGTGCCTATCAGAGTCTCTATGGCCCACAGAAAAGGATCTGAAACATATCATCATTATGACTCTATGTTGATCCTCAAGCTTTGGCCATGCGTGGATTGATCAACTTCTGGTGTGATCAGAGAAGAGCTGCTGTTTCCTCAGGCTTCTGCCATGTGTAGACTAGTCAGCTTCCAGGGTGACTAGAGGGGGGCTGTTTTTTCTGGTGGTGGCCCTATCTCATTGCAGGGTCATCTGATTCGAGTGTCTGGATCCTTCTAGTTGGTTCACTTGTCTTGGGCTGCTGGCTGTAGCCAACTATGGTAGATCTAAGACACAGTTTCTGTAACTTTAACAGCATGGGGGTGGACAGGATTATAGTGTGAGGCCCACCCCACATGGGCCCCAGAGTTGTTGGATTTTATTTATTTTTTTGCTACTGGGGATTGAACTCAGGTCCTTCTGCTTGCAAGGCAGGCAACGGAACCACTGAGCTAAATCCCCGGCCCTGGATTTTATTTTTTGACCCAAAGTCCCTAGGTTTGAATGGGTGTACTGGATCTGTTAAGCTTATTGAATATCTTTCAGGGCTATTCCCAAAGCCTGTATTTGTTTTCTCAGGAACAATTTTCCTAGTTTATAAAGATTACTCATAATTTGACTTATGATTAGGGGTGGTCAGCTGAACAAAATTTTAAATGGGAATACTCAGTTGGTTTGGTGGGGGTGCCCTGGACTCAGAGGAGGACCATGGGCAGGACTTGATCTCATCTTAAGTGAATTTCTTGACAATATTTTTTTAGGGCCGGGGATTTAGCTCAGTGGTTCTGGGGCCTGCTTTGCAAGTGCAAGGACCCTAGTTCAATCCCCGGTACCAAAAAAAAAAGACAATTTTTTTTAGCATCTGTTTGATTGCCGGGTTTATGTGTTTTGTCTTTCTTGAGCTCTGTGGTCAGTAAGCCATCTGAAGCTTTTATTTTATCCTTAACATCTATGTGAGCTCTTGGACTATTTGAGCTTCAAATATTGGTTCATTGTGTGACCCCAGGGTCTAAAGCAGTCCAAATCTTGGGATGATGTCTCTTTTTTGTTTTGTTTTTAATAGCAAAACATTTATCAGTACATTTTAGGCATACATAATAATAACACTCATCATAGGGAATTTTCACCTGTGCACAATACCGCCCACCTCTTTTTTCCCATCCCCCTCCCCTAAAGCCCCCCCATGTACAAAAGCTTTGTTTCCATTTTTTCGTTCTATTTTCACTTTTTTCTTGTCTCTTCCTTTCTTTCTCCCTCCCTTCTCCCTTGTTCCCATTCCCATTTAAATATTTTCTTTCCATTTCCCAATAGGATGATGTCTCTTAACAGTACCTTGGTTATCTTTTGTGCCTTTTCTGTTCAGGTGGGGAAAGTTTTTATCCATCTTGAGAAGGTGTAGACAAGGACCAATATATATCAATAGACACCAGCTAGAGGGAATTTAATGAAATCCATAAGCAAGTTTTCACATGTGGCAGCTTCCATTTCCTGGATACCCAGGGGGTGGTGGGCTTTTGCCTTGGGTTGTTTGGGGTACACATTAGGTATTGTTCCCAAACAGCTTGACCGATGGCAGTGAGCTATAGCACATAGACATGTCGACCCAGCAATGACTCTAGTGTTATCTTTTTCATGTGAGATCCTTAATGCATGGGCTGGGGATTTAGCTCAGTGGTTCTGCTGCCTGCCCTAATGGAATTGTTTTATGAACTTGGGCCCCAGTAGTTTGGGGGATGGCTAGACTTTTAT